GTTTAGGGTTTAGGGTTTAGGGTTTAGGGTATGGGAGTGAGGGGCTAGCGCTTGAGGCTGAGGGGTCAGGGCTTGGGGCTACGGGTTCCCACTGTCGAGGGTTTAGGGTTTAGGGTTTAGGGTTTAGGGTTTAGGGTTTGTCGACTCAGGCTGCGCCGGGAACAAGAAGCTGCTTTTGAGGAGATTCAGAGAGAAGAAGCTTTGAGGTGTCTATACACCTGAAGCTGCCTGTACACCTGAGGCCTCTGCTGCTGCTGCTGCTGCACACAACCTCTGCTGCTGCTGCACTGCTGCTGCTGCTGTGCTGCTGCTGCTGCTGCAGGATGCTGCGGCAGCGGGAGGAGAAGAAGCAGCGGGAAAGCGAGGAGAAGCGGAAGCAGCAAGCAGCAGCAAAAAGGGCTGAGAAGCAGCAGCAGCGGCAGCAGCAGCAGCAGCTGCGCCAGCAGCAGCGAGCAGCAGCAGCAGCAAAACTCAAGGCTGAAGACGAAGCAGTCGCGAAGCTCCCCCCGGATCAGCAAGCAACAGTGAGACAGCAGCAGCAGCAGCAGCAGCAGCATCAGCAGCAGCAGCAGCAGCAGCAGCAGCAGCAGCATTTCGCCGTTTGCTGCCCTCCTTTTTTCAAAACTGCTGCATCAAATAAATGAATTAATTGATTAAATTATTTATTTATTTATTTATTTATTCAGGTTTGTTTAAAGCTTCCTTCGGGGCTGCGGGCGACGCGCAGCTTTGCTGCTGCTGCTGCTGTTGCTGCTGTCTACAGCTGGGCAGCAGCACTTGCGGAATATTTGGAGGTCTTTTATTTATTTTATTCTTATTTATTTATTTATTTATTTATTTATTTATTTATTTATTTATTTATTTATTTATTTAATTTCATCTAATTTGATTAATTTAATTAATTAAATTAAATTTAATTAATTTAATTAGTTTGAGTTGGTTTGGTTTCGTTGATTTGATTTTATCGTTTTTTCAAATCTTTGAAAAATCATTTTATTTATTTTTATTTTTATTTTATTTTTATTTTATTTCTTTATTTCTTTCTATTTTTAATTTCTTATTTATTTATTTATTTATTTACTTATTTATTTATTTATTTATTTGTTTATTTGTTTATTTATTTATTTTCTTATTGTTTAGTTTTATTACTTTCTTTTTCACCTTATTTTATTTTATTTTTATTTTATTTTTATTTTATTTTTATTTTTATTTTTTGTTTTTTATTTTTTCAGGATCCTTCAATTTGCATTCCTGCGAACTTCGATTTGGTTTTGTCTCCTTATAAAGTCCTCCCCAGAGTAAACCCTAAACCCTAAACCCTAAACCCTAAACCCTAGGAGACTTGAGCAAACCCTATGTCTTAAACCCTAGCAAACCCTAAGCCCTAGCAAACCCTAAGCCCTAGCAAACCCTAAACCCTAGCGCAAAACCCTAGCGAAGCCCCCCTAGCAAACCCTAAGCCCCAAACCCTAGCAAACCCTAAACCCTAGCAAACCCTAAACCCTAAACCCTAGCAAACCCTAAACCGTAGCGAGTCGTAAACCCCAACAAACCCTAGACCCTGAGTCCCAGGAGCTCTTGAGTCTGCTCCATCCATTGGAAGCAGCAGCTGCTGCTGCAGAAGTAGCGAATGCAGCTGCAGCAAGAGCAGCAAATGCAGCAGCTGCAGCAGGGACAAATGCAACAGCAGCAGCAGCAGCAACCGTAGAAGCAGTAGCAACCGGAGCAGCAGCAGTAACAACTGGAGACATTACAGCAGCAGCAACTTCAGCAGCAGCAGCGGCGCCACCTCCAGAAGCTGCAGCAGCAGCAACTGCAGCAGCAACAGCAGCAGCAGCAGCAGCAGCAGCTCTGCATGCATGTTTTTGTGTTTAGGAGGGGACTTTGAAAGATTTGGGGCTTTGCCCCAATTGCGTTTTGCTGCTAATTGAAGTGGAGTCAGAGACTGAGAGCGACGCGTCAGACAAGTAGCTGCTGCTGCTGCTGCAGTTGCTGCTGCTGCAGTTGGTGCTGCAGGTGCTGCAGTTGCTGCAGCTGCCGCTGCTGGAACGGCCGCAGCACGTTCCAGAGAGTGTGGCGGCTCCTGCTGTTCTTGCTGCTGCGGCAGCAGCAACAGCAGCGACAGCAGCAGCAGCAGCTGCTGCTGCGGAGGAGGAGCAGGAGGAGGCTGTTTACATAGAGACAGCAACCGCAGCATCGCCTGCTGCTGTAGCTTCCAATATTGCTGCTTCTTGAGTAGCAGCTGCTGCAGCAGCGCCCTCTAAGAGCAGCAGTAGCAGCAGCAGCAGTGGCAGCAGCAGCAGTAGCAGCAGCAGCAGTAGCAGCAGCAGTAGCAGCAGCAGCAGTAGCAGAAGCAGCAGTAGCAGCAGCAGTAGCAGCAGCAGCAGTAGCAGCAGCGGACAACCCCTGGGGTGCTAATGAGAAGGGCCCGAAGTGCTGCTTCAAACTATCTGGGGCAACTGCCAGGGGCAGACGCACGGGCTGCTGCTGCTGCTGCTGCTGCTGAAATGAGAGCAGCAGCAGCAGCAGCAGCAGCAGCAGTACAAATGAGTGCTGCCGAACTGTGTCAGTCGCGTCGGGAGTTGCTCGTTGCGGCTTTTTCCTTTTGTTTATATTTCCATTTATAATTGTTTACAAAAGTTAATTAATTAATTAATTAAATTTAATTAAATTATTTATTTTATTCTTCGCCCATTATTTAGTTTGCGTCGCAATTGGCGCTGCAGGCGTCGGGGCTGCGCGGCTGCAGAGGAGGAGGGGAGCCAGCTGGGGGTAATTTGCAAAAACAAGAGCAAATTGGAAAATAAATGAAGAGGGAATAATAAATAAAAAAGAAATGGAAACAAATGGGCGGAGAATAAACGAAAAACGGGCAGCAATTGGTGGAGGAACGTTGCTGGTGGCCTGGCGGTGGAAATGGAGGCGCGGCTCGCGCCTGCTGCAGCTGCTGCTGCTGCTGCTGAAGCCGTTTTTCTACTTTAAATGGACTAGTTGAGTTTATTTGTTGTTTTGTTTAATTTAAAGGTGTAAAAAGGCGAAAAGACTAAAAATGCTGCCCCCAGGCGCCGCGGCTGCTCGCGTCCGCCGAGCAGCAGCCTCCTCACCCATGAGGTCTGCCACGGCCAGCACACCAGCCGCCAGCGGCGGCGGACCTCCTGGCCCAAAGAAGACTCCTTTTTCTCCTTTTTTTCGACTAAAACTGTTTCATATTTCAATTAAGTGCCATTTCACGATCAAAAAGGGGAAAAACGGGAGAAAACGAGCTGTTTTAGGCCTCTTCGGCGTGCCCGGTGAGCCGTGGCAGCGGCCGCGAGCAGACACGCAGCCAGCCCGCTGCTGCTGCAGCAGCAGATATTTAAAAGTGTTTTTCCTCTTTTTATTTATTTTTATTTCACTCTTTTTGAAAAAGAACGAGACAGACTGCCCCCGCCGCGAGCCCTCGCTGCTGC